CTCCAGCCTGGGCAACAGAACCAGACTCTGTCTCCAAAAAAAAAAAAAAAAATGTCAATTTTTAAAAATTGGAAAACCGATGTAACAAACCTAGACTTAGTGAAAATGAAGTCAGTAACTAAGACTCTGAGTCGCTTTAAAGTCGTGGTTCTTACAGAAGTTATCGTAGACGGTTATTGTAACAAACGTGCAGGGTTACAGAGAAAAAGGGATGAAAATGAAAATCACTCACAAATCCGCCCGCTAGACCTTTGGGGTAGAAACTTCTAGAAGCCATTTCTAGAGTCAGGGCTGGAGGTCAGGTACAGGAAATGGGCATGAGACCCCCACAGCCAGAAAGCCACAGCTGGTCTGTCAGCCCAGCAGCCACTTGGCCGTCCATCTGTCCGCCCCAGGCTCCTGCCCTCCAACGCCCTGCTCCTTGCGGCCCCTGGCCCCCAGGACTCAGCCCAGTTTGAGTGCGTGGTGAGCAATGAGGTGGGCGAGGCCCGCAGGCTCTACCAGGTGACCGTCCATGGTGAGTCAGGGCAGAGGTGGAGGGGGACACCTGGGGTGGGGGCAGCGCCTTCCCGCCCTTGGGGGCTCTCCCTGCCTGCAGGGAATTGTGTGGCTTTTTCTTGCGCTGCACTGGACACCTCCTCCAGGAAGGCCTCTCAGATCCTCCTGGGTCACTGCTGACATAACCCCAGCTCCGGCACAGTTCCTGGCCCCTCCCAAATCCACAATGTTCTAAATTCACATCTGACCTTGTCATCACCCCCATTAAAAATCCCTCCCTCCACAGCTGCCTGCTGCCCTCAGGACAGAATGCAAGAATTCAGCTGGGCACACCAGGTCCTGTGTGGTCTGGCCCTGCCAAGCCCCCAGATTCAGTTCACGCCAGACCTGCCTCATTCCAGGGTCTAATCGAGCTGCTCAGCTTTTTGTTCCTTGCCTCAAGGACTTTGTACAGGAACACGCTTCCCCTTACTCAGCAAACACCTGCTTTCCCTTCAGATCGCAGGTTAAATGCCATTCCCCCTGGAGGTCTCCTCTGGCCTCCCCTACTTCAAGTGGGAAACCCACGAGTTACCCCCTGTGAAGTTACTAGAGGCCAGGGTCTCTAAGGAAAGCTGTATCCCACTGGGTGCAGTGGCATGTGCCTATAGTCCCAGCTACTCAGGAGGCTGAGGCGGGAGGATCGCTTGAGCCCAGGGAGTCCTGGACTATAGTGCACTATGCTGATTGGGTGTTCGCACTAAGTTCAGCATCAATATGGTGACCTCCCAGGAGCGGGGGACCATCAAGTTGCCTAAGGAAGGGTGAACCTGCCCAGGTCAGAAACAGAGCAGGTCAAGACGGGTTGATCAGCAGTAGGATCACACTTGGGATTAGCCCCTGCATTCCAGCCTGGGCAACATATTGAGACTCCATCTCTGAAAAAAATACAGTTGTTTTTTTTTTTTTAAGAAAAAAACTATAGCCCCGTGCCCAGAAGGATTTGCTGAGTGGACAAATGTGACTTCTCCCCCTGTTGCCCCACCTCACTCCTTGGCCCTTTTTCACTAACGTCACCTCGTGTACTGGCTTTACCCCCGGCCCCATGCCATGAGTTCCCCATGCACGCCAGCAGGGCCTCAAGCCTTGTCTTGGGTTTCAGTGCCTCCCACCATTGCTGACGACCAGACAGACTTCACCGTGACCATGATGGCACCCGTGGTCCTCACATGTCACAGCACGGGCGTACCAGCTCCGACTGTGTCCTGGAGCAAGGCAGGTGCCCAGCTAGGAGCTCGGGGAAGCGGCTATCGTGTCTCACCATCGGGTAAGTAAGGGTAATCCACAGAGAGAGGCAGCTGACGGGAGACTGGGAGAGCAGGCAGAGGGGGTGAAAGAAGGTCACCTGGTGGAACAGGATGGAACAATCTGGCCTGGCTCTGCCTCTCCTGGCTGTGTGACCTGGGAGGACCCTCTCGCCCTCTCTGAGCTCCATATTCTCCTCCATGCTCTGCAGTGTTGAGACCCATCAGTGGTTCCCCAAGACCCTCTGGCATACAAGTGCTATTTCATGGCGAAATAAGAAAAATAG